GATTTCATCCTGGGTGTAATTAGAAACAAAGTTAAAAAACGGTCTCAAAACAAATACCACCTAAAAATCACATTAGCGGTGAAAGGATCAAGTAGTCGTTGGAAAATAATTGAATGTTCGTTGTTTAAAGTGGTATTATATATTTTTAGTTGGTATTTCTTTTGAGACTCTTTAGGACGATATTTCTTATAACTTTTCAACGGGACAGAAAAGTTTATTAGAAAAAAGAGAGCTTTGTAACAGGAAAAAAATTTGAGTATGTTGCTACCTATACCTATCGATTTGATACACCCTGTACTATATTTCCTACTCAGGCACAAGATGAAAATCGATGTAAAAATCTTGTTTACCAGTGACACTAAAAATATTTTGAAAGGGTTTCGTGAGATTGTGACTGAGTGATGGTTGTATCTACGAGAAAAAATTTAATCAGTGCATTATGCTGCGTGGTGCTTTTTAAAAAGAAATTTAAGGAATTCGTATTTTTAATCTCAAGGGGTTTACTATGTTATGATAAACACAAAACATCTTTGGAATTTTAATTGCGTTGCACTTGAAACCCTCCAGGATTTTCATATTTCAAGAAAACAACGATACTGTTATAAAGTCGTGCTCCTATAGATGCGGTCTAGATAAAACACCCCGAATATAATCCCGGTACCGTTTAATAAAGTATTCTCTTTATTTCATTTAAAAAATACTGCGCCATTACATTAATTTAACTTAATATATTTGCTTAGGTGAAATTTAAGAATAAAACTTTGGGGTTATGTCGTTCGTCGCCAGTAATTAAAAAGTAAAAAATAACTTTTAACGCTTGCGGTGTCTATTAAGCGTCTGAGCGGATAAAAAGTCGTACGGAAACCCATTTCTGTGTAATCGAAACAAGTTATTGAGTATCTATAAACGCCTTTTCACGACCAATAAACGTTTTCATTGCGACACATGCACTGTGAATAAATAATAACAAACTAGAATAATATCCCATTCCCAACGATCTCTCTTAATTGTTTAAATGCATATTTATAGAAACTCATTTTGATCGATTTTAAAATTGGTACGCGTGAAAAGAGGATTTGTATATATATATAGTCTTTTCAAAGCCATTATTGAATAAATTTGTTCTATTGAAACCAAATTCGTTATTTTGCGTAACCAATTGCATTAAATACGATAAAATCCAAACAAACAACGGTACGAAACAAGTTTCAAGGCTTCCTAGTATTATTGTTAAAAATCTGCAGCTCTGTTTTGTACATAAAGTAAAAACAAAGAAAAAAACGATTAAATTAGCTTAAAGCAGTTCTTCATGTAATGACAATGTCAACGGCTATGGCGGGCTAAAGGCGCGGAACGTTTTGGCACAAGGTTTCAGTTTCTAAAATTGCTCAAATGAATTATTTAACAGATTTGTCACGCCACTGAGGTCACCTGTAGAACGTGCTACTCGTCGTTGCTTTTGTCACATTTTCACTTTTTATACTAAGTACCTCTTAGTCGATATACCGATGAAAAAGCTTTAAACGCTATTTTTTTCTAGAAATCGTAGTTCAAAAATGATTTTAGTTACTTTGAAATAATCATAGCACACCTATAAAAAGTTTGCACAGGGTAAATAATATCAAAAATTAGCGAGTTTTAAAACCGCATCGAATTAAAGAATGTTTCGTAAAAGCTGTTTTAAATAGTTTTCAGCTTTTATCGCGGCTTTATTGAATAGAAGGTTTTCCGCTTATAAAACAGTTTATAAGGAAATTGTATAATTTGCCAGTTTCCCTTACTTACAGTCTTAAAAATAAAAGTTTATTCTTTCGCAGATAAATTTTGAAACATAGTAACATCTTATAAAATACACTGTGTCCCAAAATGATGGAACAAAATTCATATTAAATGTTTAAGCTCAAAAAACGTGACCCTTTAATTTTTTCCAAAAGTTTGACTGTTTGAAAGAAAGAAAGAAACGGTTCGCTAGATCGAGATGAAACTTCACAGGGTTCTTCTGGATATATCGAACTGTAAAAGGCATGCTTAACATTGGTCATTTCGTGAATATTTCAAATTTAGCCGTTAATTTTCTAAAATACCATAAATTACCCTCTATTTTCTGTTTTTTAAAATTCGTGTAAAAGATTTTCCAAGTCCTTGGACTCAGAAAATAAAATTTGCAAATTTTTTTGTCGCGCTATTTCTTAGAATTGCATGATAACCGTAGCTCCTAAAAAATTTCGACCGAGAGATCTAAAAACTCGAATCTAAGGGCTTCAAATTGCTTTTTTTTTAATTCCCGATACGACCATTTTTCACCTAAATACAGAAATCACGGAAAAATTTCGGAAATTCTTTTGACCCTTTAATTATTTGCATTAGTGTATGACAAAAAGGTAGGCATAACCTTATATCGCTGAATTCGTTTTTAAAAGGCCTATCTATTTATACTATAAAATATAAAGCGTCCTGAAAAAGTCGGTAATGTTATAGGTCTGTCGAACATGGCTCGAAAAAATAGAAAATATTGCAGAAAAGGGACAATTTCTATTTACTAATTGACCTGTTTCAGCGATTTCTTTAAATTTCCAATAGAAAAAAAATATGAATTTTGTTCCATAATTTTGAGACACAGTGTATACTGTGCTTTAAATTCTTCGAAAGTTAAGTGATAAAAAAATAGATACATACATAATAGCTTTTTATCTAATTAAATAATATTTTCATTATATTCCAATTTTTATTGCAGATATTAATTTCGAAATGTTAAATATTCTGTTTAATAGCAGTTTAATGTTTTTTAATGTCCATATCGCCATTTAAATTTACTAAATTCCATGCCAGAAAATAAACCTTATGACCAATTCTAAACCAGTCCACCTGTATTTGTCATTGACTGCCTTTGTTGAATAATGTATACACCCTAAATGGCACTAACTAAATAATTTCGCTTCCAGTAATCCACAAATCTATATGCCAACGAAACTGAGGTATTTAATCCTACCATAACGCCCTTTTAAATACGCTGTTTGTAATATTACTTCGCGTGTTTTTTTTTTATTCAACTATAGAATATAGAAGTTTTAAAATGTGATTAACCGCAATTTCTTCCGACGCCCCGCCACTGAATATGGCGTCCAAAGACTGCTATTACTTGAGGAAACGGAATGTAGCAAGTGAAACATTCACGAACATTAGTTTAACTTTAATTTATAACCTAAAGTGTATAAATTGTCTAGCTTTCTGGGGCCCGTTGTAGTTTCGGTTTTTTTCAACACTAATCTAAGAATGATGCTCCGGAATATGCAAACAACTTTTACAGAAATAATCTTGTGTGATTTACTGCCGCCCGAAATTAATGCCTTGATTAAAATGTGTATCTGCAACTTTTGATTATATTACTCGCACTAATAGACTACTAGCCCATCGGAAATTTTCAAGGGGTCATTTGACCCAGCATGAATTACTTATAAATCAATACCATAATTTTCAGACGGCATAACTGCTAAGAATTATTTGGAGAGTTAAATAATTATGTGGAATCGATGCCGTATATTTTTCAATGAATTGAAACAATGGGGCTAAAATAGAGGGTTGTGCCCTGAATTTCTAACCCCTGTATCAGCAGATACGTACAGCGTCACTAAAATAATTATCTACGTATCAATCCGAAACTTGCAGTATAAATGCCGTACTGTAGTAAATCACCAAAAACCGGGCCAAAATTTTCAGAAAATCAAAAATTGTTCTGGCTTTCGGTATTGCTATTTTTGTACGGCATTAGATCGAGGTTAATTTTTTTTGTATAACCTATATACTTTAGAAATGCCGTACAAAAATGTTTTGCCGAAAACCACCCCCCTTGGTGGACAGGGTTTGGTTACCTGTGTACCAACAAGAATTGACGGCATAGTTTCTAAAGTTATTGTTATATCCACATATAAATTTCCGATGGGCTTGTAGTCTATAAGAGAACAAGCAAAAATTGCAGTAACAAAAATTTGAGTAGATTTATTAAACAAAACACCATATCTAAATTAATCGATGGAATTTTTTACTACTCTTTTGAAATATTTATAAAGAAGTGCAACTGGAAATGCTATCTCCTGGTCTGTTCTGGTTCAATGAGAAGGAAAATCATATAATTTTTAATTTATCTCACAAACAAATTAAATGCGTACGGGAAATTCCCGTTTTTCACTACACTTTTGAAATAATGTCTTGTTTGATTTCACCGTAAACTGGGGGTATTTAAAGAACAGTTCACCAAATTTTTAACAGTTGGCAGCACTGTTCAAATCTTGAAAGAAGGTCCTACAAACGTATCTCCAAAAAATGTTTGGAATAGACAAAAGTTGTATGAATATCAGGGGGAACTATTTGACTGGCTCAGTCGAACTTATTGGTGCAAAGGTGCTCCGGAGATGACGTGCTTGTGCTGGTGCAGTGCAGAGTGCAGTGCTCTGTGACGGTGCAGAGGCCAACGGTCAAGTTGACACCACCGAAAGGTCCACCATCAAAAGTCACCCTGTAATTCCTCGATGTTCCTTCCGAGCGCGATATTACTTTTATTTTCGAACTGAAGTGTCGATATACTAAGCGCGTCAGCGTTACATACTTTTATTTCATTTGTTTTTAGGTACGACAAAATTGGAAATATATTTCAATTTTATTTGTAAATCTGTTTCATGTAAACGATCTTTTTCGTAATGTTTTAAATACAAAAAAATGTGACAATAGCCGGACATCACATGAAGGCCATTTTGCTTCATATCCTCACGCGACTTGGCTAGACTAGTAGGTAGGGCGCGAAAAAAAGATTAACAAAAAAAGGAGGCCTAGGAATCCCGTCATTATATGAAATTATGTAAAAATATGCCGTGTCGCATTAAGATGCCTCCATCTGAGGCTAATTTATTTGCAAGTTCTTTGGTGACTTTTTAAAATGGACCCTTCAGTCGCAGTCAACTTGAAGTCGCCATCGGTGCATAAATATAAATAGAAAAAATACACACCCTTGCAGTGGTGAGATCCCCACTCACCCTATATCCCCCTAGATTGTTGACAACGCATGTGAATGTAGCGTCGCGACCCTGCGCTACTGTTAAATTTTCCAGAGGATATAGAAAGTCAGGTTCAAAGGCAGATACCACATCTGAAACAAACAACAAACGTTATTAGGAAAAATTCATGACGCAAATCCCCTAGCTTATTATGTATAACAATTAAGTTGGCAGTATTAGATAATCATATTTCCTCTAGCCTTCCAGAGAATATTTTACTTTTCAGGAATACTAAGTTCCTTCTCTCAGCGACGGCCTGGCAGTTTCTGGGGATGTTAACAGTCCCTTTAGCGACATCCAACAGAATGGGATAAGTTCCTGTATTTATAAAATTTTCTTCAAAAGATTCGCTTAAAATATTTAACACACAAACGACTAACTATTCCTCAGTTAAGTGAGGTATTTGTGCGACTATTGGCTGTTATTTTCACCGCCATCTAGACCTAGGATAAAGATATTTAACAATTGCGAATCGCTGTCAGTACAGTACGTCATCTTTAATATTGTTTCGAGGAATTCCAATGAACATGAAAAATAAAAAAGTAATTATTTTATTTGTTTAAGAAAACGACCAGATTATCTATTTGCGCGAGATTATTCAGTTAAGTAAAAAATAAGAATCAAGTGATGTAAACAAAATATGGAGCACCCTGTACAGACGAGATATTTAATTGTTAATTAATCTGTTCTCGAATCAGAGTTATCAATTATTACGTCGAATATCACGTTTCACTAATTATATCATGAAAATTTAGTTTCTATGGAGTAATACTTGGTTAGCGGGATTATCATCACTGGTTTGTAACCGATATTAACAATGTGAAAAGGTGATTTTTCGCAATAGTCACAAAGTACAGTCGTGGACAACAAAAAGTATTTTGTATTGTTTTTATTGATTTAAGTTTTTTCTTACTTTATTTTATTTATATATAGATTGTAATTTTGTTTCCATACAGAAGCTACCTTCGACTTTTAGAAACACGTAAGTTCGTTTTCTCAAATTCTGTAGTGAAGACTGAATTTTTTTAATCTATTTTTTCAAATTTTCCTGTAAATTCAAATTTTCTGTCAATTCTTACCTTTTTTGATTTGTATACATGTATTTTTCATAATATCACTAAGCACTGAAATAACTAACCTTTATAGTTATACAGGGTTAGTCAAAAGTATGGAAACCCCCAAAAATCTCAGCGGGAAAGCATTTTTGGGATAAATGGTGAGGACGAAAGTCTAAGCATCCGATGGTAACCTTGACCACTAAAAAATTGCGAGTCCCTTCTATTCCATTGTCGAAAATAAAATATGGCGGCCGGAATAATCACTTGACCTCTACCTGACCTTGACCATTGACGTTAAGGTCAGGCTTAAAATCATAATAACACGTATAATTCTACTCTCTCTTATTTTAAGCGTCGAAATGCGGGGTTGCTACTCCAAAAACCGATATGACCTTGACATGTCCCTTCGACTTTGACCTCAAAATCAAGGTCACTGAGGAGTACCACTGGTACTGTCACTCCCTCTGATTCCGTAGTTAAGGATACAAAATTATAGTAAAAATCTAGATTTGACCTTGAACTGACCTTGAGGTCACGGTGAATGTCATATTCGAATGCAGAATCTTCTGCTCTTTCCATTACCGGTGTCGAAAAGGAGAGTCGCCGTTTAAAAAAAAACTACTTAATCTTGATATGACCTTGCACCTTGACTTCAAGGTCAAGGGTACCATCGGATCGAATTAGATGAAAAATGCCGAGACTTTTGCCACCATTTATCCCAAAATTGCTTTCCAGCTGAGATTTTTTGTGGTTTCCATACTTTTTTATTAATCCTGTATTAGTAACTAGTTAAAATTTTACTATAAAATTAAGCTTTATAAAACATTACACTGCACTATCCAGACCCTATTTCGATTCCAGTAAAAACTAAAACTTTACGCAGAAAGTCGCGGAATCACCTACCGCATTACAAATACCCCCTCGTAAACCGATAAACTGAAAAATAAAATAAACGTAATAAAATGCAGAGGTGATATATTCGACAGTTCTTGTTTCGCCGAATTAAAGTGTTTTTTTGCTCGCCTGGCTAATTGTTGTCATATCACATCGGGTGAATTGGATTCTCCTTAACTAGGCCAATGTCAGAGGTTGTCAATACTGAGATTCACAAATTAAACACTGTGCTTTCAAAAAATAGTAACAGATACGTTTTATTAAAATCTTCAAACGATTTTAAATGTTTCAAACCTATCAGATTAATAAACAATTAATCAAATAAAGTATAATAAAAATAGAAAACATAAAAACACTCTATTTATTTTTATTATTACAATGACAGACAAAAAATGGTGACACTAAACAAATCTGTTTTTATTAAATTATTTTTCGTTGCAGTTTCGTTCTCTGCACTGAGAGAAAGGTTAGTTCTGCCAATAGCAATGCTGCCAACCGCATATTACTAAATATCTCCTTTAGCGTGTAACTCAAAATGTTCGGTTATTTTCTGAACAGACCTCGTATATAAATAAAAGCAACTAGTTTAAAAAAATATTGTGTAAATATCATTATGAAAATTCAACTAGATATACAGGGTGTCCTGTTACTTGGTACAAATAGATGAGGTCAAAATAATATCAGTTCTTCATATAAATTTTTTTCACACGGGCCTTCGTTAACAATTTACGGGCCCTCAACGGTGAAAATTAAGAAGTTATTTTTATTTACTGTATCTAAACTATTAACTTCAGCATGATGCAAATTTGGTGATCGATAACACATGCGCATAGCTTGTTTTTGATGTTGTAAGTGAAACTTCATTATGCCCAGAACGCCAGGGATGGACTATTCCCAATGGTTAACAACCCAGAATTTTTGCACAGATGACGATCGCCATCTGCCTGCATCAAAAATAAGTTCCCTGAAGAATTTGCCAACGATAATACCCTCTTGGTTCAACTCGGTAGAATTAACAATTTAGGAAATATTTGTGATTTTATGTCACAGTGCACATCGAATGGCGCCTCCACCATTTTTTGTTTTTAATTTTTAATTGGACATAATTACTATGTTAGAACCGTACCTATTGTTAAAATAAGAGCCTAGAAAATCTTACTGTCTGCTATTGTAATTTCCACTAACAAAATTTGAGAAACACACTTTACACATAACACAAATAGAAAAAAAAAAACAAGAATAAGATGTCCATTCAGATATTTATCAAAAACGAATAGACCTATAAAATTATTACCCACTATTATTGTATGCAAAAATTCTGGGTTGTTAACTATTGGGCATAGTCCGTCCCTGGCGTTCTGGGCATAATGAAGTTTCACCTACAACATCGAAAACAAGCTATACGCATGTGTTATCAATCACCAAATTTGCATTATGCTGAAGTTAATAGTCTAGAGACTGTAAATAAAAATAACTTTTTAATTTTCATCTTTGAGGGCACGCAACTTGTTAACGAAGGCCCGTTTGAAAAAAAAATTATGTAAAGAACTGATATTATTTTGACCTCATCTATTTGTAGTCGACTTTTTTGTATCAAGTACCGGGACCCCAGTATATCAACTGATACTTTCTGTTTAATTTTAATAAGTAAATAATTTGCAATTGGCAATATGGTTGTGAATATATATGTGAATATTATGTATTGTAGACAGTGGATATTAAATAGTTCTCATAGCTCGGCGTGGTATATATCCTAGCATTAATAACAAATAATTTCCACCGGATACAAAGAGCTAATTTGGGTTTATGACAAGTGAGTGCATTCGGTCATATTTCATCGAATGTCCTGCAATATTTCATCCGGGAGCAGCGCTGAGAAATGACCACTAAAGAGGAGCATATTTAAAAATTTAAAGAAAAATTTTCAGACGCTCGAGTGTTCACACTTCACAGTTACGTCCCTTTTGAGGTTACATATCCTAGCCGTGCGGTCCATTTCATCCTTACAACAACATACCATTTATCTATTACTGAAAGTATAAGTAAACATTTTTACTGGTGTGTGTAAACGGTGTTAGCAATGCAAACAGTCACACGGCTCTCAAATGTTATTGTAGAAAGGAAAGAAATGATATGTTTCCCACCTTAACCTTTTCCCTATCTTTCTAATTTAATATCGAAAATTAAATAATAACAATAACAGCCGCCGTTGTTTACAGTCGATACCGTTGTGTATTTGTATACGTAATTAGATAATTATCAAATAAATAACGGGTTATTTGCCATTTTGATGTGATATTCAGAGGGAACATCAATATAAAATAGATTCTGGTCTGTATCGTGTAAACAATTTCGAAAACAAATTGATACAACAGTAATTTCCGCTAATGTATTCAGTGCTGAAAAAATCTAATTCCAAAATATGGCATATCAGGTGTCATACAAATTACCAGACACGCAATTTTTATAATTTCATTTCACTTTTAGATAGTTCCGTTCTGTTTCTAGTAAAAATCATTTCGGTATCAGTACTTTTTCTTAAAATGCATAGTACCAAAAACTGTACTTCACAATTCACCATTTTTATTATTATAAACCAAGGTCTACCGCGATTTTTTTTCTTTTTGAGAAAAAAAATACTAAATATAAAAAAAATTGCCATTAGACCAGGAAAATTAGCGAAAAAAAAAGAGAAGCTCGAAAACATTCCTATCCGCGATATTATTGTAAAATTGTCTAAAGGAACATAATACAAGACATCTCTCATCTCGCGAGTCAAAAAATTTTAATAGCTATCTTTTCTATTTAAACAAGTCAGTGAGGAAAACAGTTTTTCCACTTTGCAGGGAAAACCATCAATTTTAGCGAAAAGTGACTCACACACAACTTGTAGGGAATAAAATTATCTACAAAATGGGACTCGTTGAAAATAATTTGTGAATTTTTACTGTAATTTTACATTTAAATCGTAATTAAATAACTAACAAAATATTGAAAGAATAAGATTACTTTGGCTTAATATGTAAAAAAATAATAACTTTTGAAATGAACGATAGCTTCGTTTATTTATTTAATAATAGTAAAATAATTCCGAAATTGAAAAAACGCCCCCCTTAAACAAAATTGTCCAAATCGCCTTT